ACCATTCTAGGCTTGAGGATGCAGCAATAAATAATAAAGACAAAATCTTGTTTTCATGGAGGTTATAATAAATAAACAAACAAATTTTTGGTGGATATAAGTGCCATGAAGACAAATAGTATAAAATAAGAGCTAAGGAAGGAACGGAGATAAGAGAGAAGGTAATTTGAGCAGAGATGTGAAAGAAGCACACGAGCAAGCCATGAGGACACCTGAAGAGAAAGGTGTTCTAGGCAGAGGCAACAGCAAATGCAAAGGTCAAGATATAGATGCTGGGTCAGCCCAATGTTTCCAAAGAACAGTAAGGAGGGCCTGTGACCAGAATCAGGTAGAGGGTGCTGATGAAGTCAAAGAGAGCAGAGTGGGAGGGTGAGGGCTGCAGGTTATGTGGGGTCTGTTAGATCATGATAAAACTGTTTTCCACTCTAAATGAGATGCACAGTCATTGGAAGGTTTGAGCAAATGCATTTTACAAATATATAATCTGACTTGGGTTCTACAAAGATTCCTCTGCATGGCAAGCTTAGGAGAGACTGTTGGAGCAAAGACAGAAGGAGAGAGAGAGCAGCTAAGAAGGTATAGCAACATTCCAGGAGACTGAGATGAAGCTGTGGAGATATGAGAAGTGTTCAGACCCTGAACTTATTTTAATGTAGAACCAATTGAATTTGCTACTGGATTGGATGTAGGGTATGAGAAAATTAGAGAAATGAAGGTGACAATTAGAATTTAGAGATGGTGATATGTTTGAAAAACAGATAGAAGCAAAGGCAGGAATTACTGAGTGTGAGTGAAAGCTGCATGGTAAGCTGCTTAGAAAGACCTGGGTTTGGACCCTAGGATCTTTTTTTCTTTTTTGATACAGAGCCTTACTCTCTCACCCAAGCTGAAGTTCAGTGGCACAATCTTGGCTGACTACAACCTTGAACTCTAGAATCTTGACTTGCTGTGAACTGTAGGCATGGCACTCAACCTCAGTGAACCTTGACTGCTTCATATACATGCAGATAACAGCTATATATTTCCAAGTTTTAGTAGAGATCAGAGAGAATATATGCAAACTGTGGATCTCTGTGTCTTTCCCATAGTAGGACCTTAACGAGGATAATGGCTATCATTCTTGGCTTAGGGAAAAAGAGGTGTCCAACATGAGGCTCATACATGTGGTTTGGGTTATTTGGGGATGGTACAGTCCTCAGAAACATGAGAAATTAAAAGGATCATGTTGAGAGATTAAGAAAGCTGAGAGATCATGATTTCAGTTTGTAGTACAAGAGAGATGTCCTATAGGCAGTTGAAAATATCTGCCTAGGGTTCAAAAGAGAGACCTGGGCAGGAGCAAGAATGATTTCAGTCATCACTATAGGTATGCTAGGCCATTTGCACAGCCTGCAATGACTGTACCTAATAGGTTAAAGTAGACTGATGTGTCATTTGTGCAAAATTGTAAAAAACTGATTATCTCTATATATCAATGTATCAGTCTATCTATTTATCTATCTATCTATATTTGTCTATTTCATCATAGTTACTTAATTTGCCAACAAACTGAGTAACTATAATGAAATGGACAAATTTCTAGAAACACACAGCAATTACCAAAACTGACTCATGAAAAAAGTTGAAAAAATTAGAAGACCAATTAAGAGGCTAAATCAAATGAAAAGCATCCCAACAAGGAAAAGACCGGGATCAGGTGGCTTCACTGATAAATTCTACCAAACATTTAAAGAATAATAAACACCCATTATTCTCTAAGTCTTTCAAAAAGACAGAAGAGGAGGAATCATTCCCCAACTCATTCTGTAAGTGTAGCATTATGTTAATACCAAAGTCAAACAAAGATGCTATGAAAAAAGAAAACCACAAACCAAAATCTCTTATAAATCCAGATGCAAAAATCCTGAAACAAACAAACAAGCAAAATACTAACTAAATCTCCGAGCATCTTAAAAGGATTCTAAACCATGACCAACGCTTAATCAAAGTAATACATCATACAAACACAACAAAGGGGAAAAGAACCATAATCATCTCAACTGACGCTGCAAAGGAATCTGAAAAACTCCAACATCCTCTCTTGATTAAAAAAAAAAAAAAGGGCATTTATGAAAAACCTACCATATTCAATACTGAAAAATGCAGAGAATGGACCCTTTCCTTATCCCATACATAAAAATTAAATCAAAATCGATCAAAGACCTAAATATAAGAGCTAAAACTATAAGACTCTCAAAACAAAAACATAAACAAACAACAAAACCAAAACAAAACAAAACCAAGGTTATGAACAAAATCTTCATAACCTTGGATTTGGCAATGGATACTTAGATATAACACCAAAAGCATGATCAAATAGAGAAGAAAAAAATGCATAAAGGGAATTTCATCGACATTAAAAGGCCTAGGCATCCCAAGATATTATCAAAAAAGTGAAAAGGAAACCCACAGAATGGGAAAAGATTTGCGTATCATATATCTGATAACAGCCTAACATCCAAAATTTAAAACCTCTTATAACTCAACAACAAAAAGACAACACCATTTTAAAATGGGCAAAGGACTTGAAAAAACATTTCTTCGGAGGAGATATAGAAATGATCAGGAAGCATATGGAAAGATGCTCAACATCATTAGTCCTTTGGGGAATGTAAATCAAAACCATGGTCAGATACTTCACACCCACCAAGATGAATAATTAAATACAAAATAAGTGTGGCAAGAATGGGGAGAAATTGGAATCCTCGTGCATTGCTGGTGGAAATATAAAATGGTGTCACTCCTGTGGGAAACAGTATGTCAGTTCCCCAAAAAGTTAAACAGAATCACATATGCCTCTGCAATTCCATCCTAGGTATATATCCCAAATAATTTTTAAAAAGTACTCAAATACTTACATGCTCATGTTCACCACAGCACTGTTCACAGTAGTTATAAGGCAGAAAGAAGTGTCCGTCAACAGATAAATGGATACACAAATTGTGATATAAAAATATAATGGAATATCATCCAGCCATAAAAAAGAATGACCTACTGATACATGAGACAGGGTGGATAAACCTTAAGAACATTTTGCTCAATAAAAGAAGCCAGTCATGAAAGGTCACATACTGTATATTTCACTTATATGAAATATCTAGAATAGGTAAGTCTATAGAAGTGAAAGCAGATTGGTAGCTGCTAAGGGATGAGGGGAATGAGAAGTAAATGTTTATTGGGTATGGAGTTTTATTTTGTGGCAATGAAAATATTTTTGAGTTAGAGAGGTGTTGCTTTTAAAACACAGTCAGTATACTAACTGTCACCAAACTGTTCATATTAAAATGGTTAATTTTATATCATGTAAATTTCACCTTAATTTTAAAAAATGCATCACCTTGGTAGGGTGACAGGGTAGAGAACACACATACTAGAGACTGGATATAATATGAAACAGTGGAGGTCTGAGCTATGTGTTACAAGTAGAAATGAAAACTAAGAGGAATAAATGAATGTGAGAGGTCTTTAAGAGGGAGACAGATTGAAGTGGGATGGGAAAGGGTGACTTCTGTCCACAGTGGTTAGGAGGACAAGATTTTGGAGCAAAGACAGACAGTTCTCTACTGAGCAGGCTGCATTTCAGGAATGTTTAGGAGGCACTCAGAAATATGGATCTCTACTCAACAGATCAGTATGGGCTGCCAATGAAGACTTTGGAGTTTTAAACACCTTATAGAAATAAATGGGACAGAAGCAGATAGAAAAAAGTCATATTGTAACATTACAGCTTTAAAAAATGTAACATGATGGTTCAATTTACCTAAGGAAATATTCAACAAAAGCATTCAGCATAGACAAAAAGATGGGTTAAATGTGATGGTAGAAAGATGTCCATACGCAGTTAGTATTTAATTTCAGGGCCATATCAGTTATCTGTGTGGCAGTGCAATTAAACCATCTAAATAGGTTTTGCCTTTATGAAAATGCTTCCAATAAAAGCAGCAATTAATTAAACTAACTGAAATCACTGAACTACGGCTGTAGCTCTATTCAGTATAGCCCTTTATATGCGTGTGTTTCTTTCTCTACAACTGTTTCTTTTCTTTAAAAAGTGCAGTTAATAAAGGTATTTTTATGAGTATGCCTGCTGGGAATACATGGTTGCATTAACCTTACCACTGAAGTTTCATGAAAGGACAAGGAAAACATCTTGTGTTTGTGAGCTTCCCTTCATACGGATTGCTTACCCTATGCTTTATCCACTGGGACATGCTGATGGAACTAAGTTCTGGAATTTCCCTCAATGTTTAAACAGGATTCTGCTCTGTGCCATATCACAAAGTACAGCTTTAATGTTTTTTCTTACATTGATTCCCTAACATCTGTGTCCATTCTCTATCAACTGCCAGTCCTGCACAAAAGCACAGTGGCACTGTTGGTTGAGAAACTGGCTTTATTTCCTCTAAATTGATCAATGTTCAGATTAATTTTACTGACAACAATAGTATTTATTCCTTTCAGAAATAATGCATGATATGTCAAATATTTCCATTTCAATTCAAATGTCATAAGCAGAAAATCTAGACACTAAGTAATAGCACTATTTAAGACAAAGGAGTTTATAGCATTTTGAAATTTTGTACATGTTTAGCTTTAACTAACTAAATAATATGTATGACCAGCCGAATCTCTGGTTTAATTATCATTACCCAGTAAATAGCTGCCTCAAATTGTCATGCATTTTCACCTTAGAAGAACAACTCAATGGTATTAAAGCAGGATACAAGCATGTCTAAAAGAAAATCAGAATTTATTTGCTGCCAGCAAACCAAGATGAATAAAATGATTACAATGTGGTTACATGTATTGTGAAAGAAAAAGCTATAAATAGCACGAGACATTAACAGGCAAAGGCACATACCAGCACTACAACACACATACACACACACACACATACACACCCCTACTTCCTATTATTGAAAGACACTATGGGAGAAAAAAAAAAAAGAATCCAAACTCACATCACACTGAAAAGGCTTTTCTCCAGTGTGCGTCCTCTTGTGCTCATCCAGGCCTCGCTTCTGGCTGAAGGCCTTGCTGCACTCTGAGCACTTGTACGGCTTCTCCTGTAGTCAATGAAAAGATACCACCAAAAATGCCAGTGAATGAATGAATGCAGAGCCTTCTGTATTCAGATGTGTGTTATAGGGTCTACAGGACACGGCAGCAAATTCACAGGTATGCTGATATGATTTGGCTGTGTGCCACCCAAATTTCACCTTGAATTGTAGTTCTCATAATCCCCATATGTCATGGGAGGGACCCAGTGGGAGGTAACTGAGTCATGGGGGTGGCTACTCTCATGCTGTTCTTATGATAGTGAGTTCTCACAAGATCTGATGGTTTTATAAGGGGCTTTCCCCACTCTGCTCTGCACTTCCCTCTCCTGCTGCCATGTGAAGTTAGTTTCCCCTTCCATCATGACTGTAAGTTTCCTGAGGCCTCCCCAGCCATGCAGAACTGTGAGTGTCAATTAAACCTCTTTCCTCTACAAATTCCTCAGCCTCATGTATTTATTCATAGTGGTGTGATAACAGACTAATACAGGTGCTATGAGATATTTTACATTTTCAGGGGAAATAGGAATAATCCACATCTGTTAGACACTGAAAATGACTAGCTTAAGGCAGTTCCATGTTTCAACATTGGATTGTGCTGCATTTCTTCCAATGATGTCCTGTCTTTGCAATGCTGGATGCTGGGTGGTTGCTGTGATGTAACTGCTTAAATTCTTAGATCATTTCTTTTGGTCTATGGTTACCATAAAAGTCTACTGAGATCCTCAGGGCATCATGAATGAAGAAACTTCGAGAACCCTTGATCTAGATGGTACAAATTGTTTACTGTCTAAGAGAAATTCCTAGAAATAAAAACTTTAGAATTAAATTTCCTACATTTTGAGGGGTAACTTTAAAAATAAATCAACTATGATTTATGTATTTTCCTTTTTTTTCCTTTGAGATGGAGTCTCCTTCTGTTATCCAGGCTGGAGTGAAATGGCACAAACCCGGCTCACTGCAACTTCTGCCTCCCTGGTTCAAGCAATTCTCCTGCCTCAGCCTCCCAAGTAGCTAGGATTCCAGGTGTCTGCTGCCATGCCCAGTGATTTTTTTTTTTTTTTGTATTTTTAGTAGAGATGGGGTTTCACCATGTTGACCAGGCTGGTCCAAACTCCTGACCTCAAGTGATCCACCTGCTTTGGCCTCCCAAAGTGCTGGGATTACAGGCATGAGCCACCATGCCTGGACAATTAATATATTTTCATTTCTATTACCTCATCTTTTTCCCAGGAGGATGTTCTTTTATAAAATCTAAATTACGTTTTTAATGAGGCATTTTTAATATAAAACAATAAAGTAAACTTAAGGCAAAGAAGTATCTCAAAAGAAAGAGAACAAAATTTCAAATTCCCTAGCCATCTTTAATACCAGGAACTCAGTCATATCAACATCTTTTTAGCCTGGATTAATTGTGAAATAAATTGATTAATGTTATTCCATCCCAACAGCTTGCAAGTTACTGCTTAGTGCATCATTAAAAAGTTTTGTTCGAATTTAAGTAAATTTGCAGTGAGGTTTTTATCAAATATATTTTCAAAATATTGCTATCAACATTTTTGGGCTAGGCACTGTGGCTAACGCCTGTAATCCCAGCACTTTGGGAAGCTGAGGTGAATGGATCACCTGAGGTCAGGAGTTTGAGACCCACGTGGCCAATATGGTGAAACCCCGTCTCGACTAAAAATACAAAAATTAACTGTGTATGGTGGTGGGCACCTGTAATCCCAGCTACTCGGGAGACTGAGGCAGGATAATCGTTTGAACCCAGGAGTGGAGGTTGCAGTGATCCAAGATCGCTCCATTGCACTCCAGCCTGGGTGACAAGAGTGAAACTTCCTCTCAAAAAGAAAAAAAAAGACCACACTTTTGAATTGAGGTAGTATATGCATGTTTCTTGTTAACAAGTTGTATTTATATTTTCTCCCTAGTATCAAAATATCTATAATTTTTTTTGCAGATTAAAAAAAAAACAGTATGTAAATAACCAGACAGACATACATGTGTCACTAACTAACCTAAGAAAGCCAACCTTCTCAATACAGGTGCAGCTCTCGATTGCCTTCTTCCCCACCACCTGCGGCACCCTCCCATCTCCTCAGGGATGATGGCTCTCTCAGATATGCTAGGTACCATTCCCTTGCCTTTCTCTATATTGTTACTACATATGTATGGGTGGAACCTTAGGACAGAGTATAATTTTGCCATTTTAAGTATGTAAATAGTATCATAGTGTATCCAGTTTTTCTGTGTTCTGTTGGGATGTACTTTATCATTGTTCAACATTAGCTTCACAGGCTTTTAGTCCTCGCTTTCATTTTTGTGAACACATATAGCTCATATTTACTAACTTTCGATGTTGTGCCATATTACATTCAATAGCTGTATACCACAGTTTATTTATATACATTCTCCAATGATGGCCAGCTAAGTTATTCCTAGTTGTTTACTCTTATAAATAATGTTGCTCTGAAAAATCTTGTACACTTGAATGTAGGTGAAAGCAGCTCTCTAGGGGATGTGTGCCTAGAAGTGGGACTGCATCTTCAACTTTTCTACAAATGAACAAATAGCTCTGCAAAGTTAATACACCAAGTTAATAAACCATTTTATATTCCAATAATCAGTGTATTCTTGTGATTCGATCACTTTATTTTAGATGTTTTAAGACTTTCATTAGGTACGTAAGTATATATAAATTTAAAACTATGTTATCGGAAAATAGAACCTTTTATCATCTTGACAGGACCGTCTCTATCTGTAATAATTCTTTTTTATCTTGAAACTAATGTGACTACAATATAGCTATAAAAGCTTTTTAAAATTAGTATTGGCCTGCTATATCCATCTTTTTGCTTTCAAACAGCCTATATCCTTATGTACGGGGAGTGACTTTTATAAAGAGTATATGACTAGATTTTTTTTAACCCAAACGTTTTGTGATCCAAAGATTACTTTTTTTCTAAGATGGTAAGTTTTGCCTCTTTACAAATTTGTGATTACTGACATACTTAAATGTATTTCCAATATTTATTTTATGCACAACTATTATCCTTTTTTCAAGTTTTTCCAATATATTTTCTTACATGTTTTAGATCGATCCTTTCCCCTGGTATTACTTTAAAAGTTATTATCTCTTTCTATCCTTTAAATGGTTATGCTTAAAATATTTCATTTTGTATATTTAAAACTAAAGTTTATCCATATGCTTTCTCTCTTACTAATACATGTCCTATAGAATGATCCTCTTACACATTAGTGTGTAGCAGTATTTTATTTATATCTTGATTTTTAATGCTGGTCTTAGTTTGAGCTGCCATAACAAAACACCATAGACCGGGTGGCTATAAACAACAGACATTTATTTCTCACCATTCTGGAGGCTGGAAGTTTAAGATCAGGGTGTCAGCGTAGTCAGGTTCACGTGAGGGCCCTTTTCTGGGCTGCAAATTGCCTGTCCTCACATGGTGGAAGGAAAATACTCTGGCCTCTTCAGCTCCTTATAAGGGCACTAATCCCATTCATGACAGCTATACCCTCATGACTTTATCAGCTCCCAAAGGTCCCATCTCCAATACCATCACACTGATGGCTAGCATTTCGACATATGAATTTGGGGAGAATACAAATAGTCAGTCCATTGTAATACCTGATATGGAATCATTATTATTTTTATATAATCAATGTGATTTAGCTTTACACATGTTAACGATTTCTTAAGTTTTCAAGCTTTTTTTTATGTATCTGATTTTCCAAGGATCTGTTGGTGGCAAATTATTTTTTAGTAAAAATGACTACTTTTCTCATTTCTTGTTGAACACAAGTCTACAAATCCAATGAGATATATATAAGAGACTCGTTTTACTCTTTGTATTTCTTAATCTCTCTTTACCACTTCCATTTCTTTGTGTTGTAGTCTAATTTCTCAAAATCAATTGATTTTAATAATCAGTTGATCAATTCTTTTTTCAGCTTGCTGTTTAATGGGACCTAGGGCTTTTCAGTTTTGTTATCATATTTTTAACTTCTAGAAGTTTTATGTGCTTATTTCCCAATTCCATTTATTTTTTGATACAATCAAATTTTTTCTCATAAGCAACTCTTGTTATTTATGCCTATTTAAAAATATTCTGGGCATTTAGGTAATTTATTTTATCCGACAAAGCATTATCTTAAGATTTTTAGAAGTCTGGTTCTGCTTTCTGTGGTTTCTCCTGTCTCCTGCTTGTGGCTTTTGTTTCCTTGGGCGTCTCTGGGATTTGAAACCATGAGCACACGTTTGGTGGTCTTTATCTGTTAAAATCCTGTGACCCCTAGGTTGAGGGTAAGTCCCTCCAGACAGAATTTGTGTTTGCTTCTGCCAGGCACTCTGGGATGCTATCAATCAAAGACTGTTTTAAGTTGATTTATTGCCTTAGGGTTTTCTGGTGAGGCAGATATTGTAAGTCTGAACTCTACATTTGAGGGAAGGATTGAGGTTATAAACTCTAAGAAGAAAGCTTTCCCTAGCCAGCAATTACTCCAAAAGTTAAATGTCTCAAGCACCAGACTTTACCAAAGGTAGATTATGTCTAGTCCCCAATTTTATTTTGAGCATAGCCTTTCTAGAGTCCAAGCATTTCAGTGGTATGGGATTCCATCTTGCCCTATAATCTGAACATATAGTGGGTCATGTTTTCCCTGACACCATGAAAAACCAAGTCTTGAGAACACCAACACTGGCAAACACCCTGCAGGTGCTGTATCCTCAACTTGAACTTATCACTCACTTTTGGCTCCATTTTTGCTCACTGAATCCTGAGGGTTACCATTACTTTTTTTTTATAAGTTCAGATGTTTGTTGTTTGCTTTGCTTTATCCAGCATTAATAAGCGCTCCTTATAGGGCCTTTTTTTTTCCTGGATATGAAGTGTCTACCATGTTGCCAGAAATAAAAGTAACTATGTGTATAATTTTAAAGATGTAAAAAATATATGTTTAATGAGTCTTTACAGTCATTAGGAAAAATA